CTTTGTCCCGGGCAGCAGCGCGCTCTGCAGGTACCACCGGACGTTGTCGCCAGCAATGCGGCTTCGTCTTGAAATCGCAATCATACCGGCAGTTGCCGCCAGGGGTGTGGACCCGCATCTGGCACCTAATGGACGACGTTGCCTTGTAGTCATCTGGGATTCGTACAGGCGCACCGCAACAAGGACAGGCATGAAATGATCCAGGGCGGGCTAAGATGCTGGCCCGTTTTCCTGCATTGTGTCCAGCGAGGCCGCCAGAACTCAGGAGGGGAAAAAACACACAGACACAATTCATCGTCGATTCCACAGAAAATATTGGAAAATATGGGAAGTGGGGGGGAAGACAAAAACCCAGAAAACATGGGAAAAATATTGGGAATCTTTTTATTTGTGCGCATTTATTTGTGTGTCCCAGGGTCCCTTCAAGAACACCGGGGGAGATTCTGCACGCGATGGATCTGGTCGGTTTTCGGTTTGGCCTTCGCCTCAGCCTTCGCTTCGTGTGCCACGGTGCAGGAAAAAGCCGCCTGGGCAGAGATGACTACGGATGAGTTGTCCCTTTCCCCCGTCCCCCCAGAAGCCCCATGTGTAGCCCCCAAGTGTGGCCCCCAAGTGTGGCCCCCATGTGTAGCCCCCAAGTTTAGCCCCCAAGTGTAGCCCCCAAGTGTAGCCCCCAAGTGCAGCCCCCAAGTGTAGCCCCCAAGTATAGCCCCCAAGTGTAGCCCCCAAGTGTAGCCCCCAAGTGTTGCCCCCAGAGGCCGTGCCCTCCATCCGGCTACGCGCGCGCAGGGACAAAGAATGACAGTTCGGACCCCCTCACTCTGACTTGATCGGCCTTCCTACTTCAATTCTGTTTTTACCCACTTCTCCCGACCAGCGTGTGAAGGGGCCCTTGGGGCCAAGAAAAACACGAAGGGTGCACGTTTCTCCCCCCCCACCCTCACGTGTCGCTCTCCATGAGTTACGCAGCGCCCGATGTTCCAGGCCTCCCAGATGAGGTCCGACTGGATGTGGCAGGAGGATCGCGCCCCGTCGCAAATGCCTCGGCGAGGCGGGTCGATTTGGAGGCCGATCTTACAGTCAGCCCTCGTAGGAAGGATGGGCAACCTTTCCAAGGGTACATTCGCATCATTGTCTCCTCGGTCCATCCTTGGCCACCCTCGTTGACCGCGCCTCGCTCGAAAAGCTTCGAGATGGCCTTTCAAGGCTCTTGCATCCTTATCGTGCGTCCTTCTGATACGGGTCGACTGTATACGTGCCGATGGCACCGATGCATCGCCGACGTCGCCGAGGCATCGGCGATGCGGCGCGATCCTCTGACCCGATGTGCTCGGACCCCATTGATCTGCACGAACGAGATGGGCACGGAGAGAATGGGTAGAATGCCCAACAGCAGTTCCTGCTCATTTTGAACAGGACTCGCTGTCCGCGCCGCCGCGGCCTGTGTCCAGTCGAGACATAAGGCCGCCTACCCAACAGCGGACGCTGTCGGTTTGGGACAACATGTGTTGTTGGGCATTGTACCCATTGTTTCCGTACCCATCTCGGGCGTCCAAAACGATTCGGGATGAAGATTTTCAGGAGGGGAAGCACACACAGACACAATCAATCGGCGATTCCCCAGAAAATATGGGAACATATGGGAAGTGGGGGGGAAGACAAAAACCCAGAAACTATGGGAACATATGGGGCATCTTCTTATCTGTGTGTATTTGTTTGTGTGCTTGTGGGCCCCTTCAAAAATGGAGGATCCAGAGGAGGGCGAGCCCAGCCAGCGGCGGCCCTCCCCGGCGCTGCTCGCTCGCTCTCTTCGGGCCCCCCCTGGAGACTCCTCGCCGCCACGGCGGGGCCCGCGCCGAAAGAGGCGCCCAAGACGGCCCGGGTAGGCCTCCCAAAGAGCACCCAAGGAGGGAAGGGGGAGGGAAGAGGAGGAGGAGGAGGAGGAGGAGGAGGAGGAGGAGGAGGAGGAGGAGGAGGAGAAGGAGGAGGAGGAGGAGGAGGAGGAGGAACAGGAGGAGGACGAGGAGGCCAAAACCATAGACTGCCCACCAGTTGTTCAAGGAACTTGGCATTCGATTCCTGTCGGCCTTCCGACGCCTCGAGACGGCCCCATGGGGCCCCCAAGATCGCCCCAGCTTCACGAGGATGGGCCCGCCGTTGTCTCGTGTGGCCCTCCTCCGAGAGGGGGCGCCGTCTCGGGCCGCGGCTGGCGATGGCTTGGATTATGATGTTCCGGCCTGCTTTGCGTTGCTCCCCAGAAATAAATTCGAGCACCAGGAAAGCAAGGAGACTGGCCAGTTGTCACGTGTCGGGCCCTGTGAGGCGATGCTCGTCCGACATTGTTTCGATACTTTTCTGGGTGCTCGGATTTGTTTCTGGGACGGGGCCCTTGAGCACGATGGGAGCAACCTAAGGCTCGCAGCGCATGTCTTCCGCTCCACCGCTCAGCTCCAGGCTGCTCAGCCTTCGGGTCCTGGGGGTCCTCTGGGAATCAGGCGGGCCGGCCCCGCTCTCGAAGCCTCCGCTTCTAGGACTAAGTCGGGCCTGTTCCTCTACAGGAGGACTATCCAAACATAGTGAAACACATGGGACGATGTTTTGTTCCATGTGTCATCATTTTTTGAGCATTTTTATTTTTCATTTGAAGTCCAGAATCCGCCTGTAGGGGGACACGCCCGACCTGTTTCTAGGAGGGAGAAGGCTCCCAGCGCTCTGGAGCAGTGGACTCCACCGAGGCGGCGTACTCTGGAGCTCCTGGCGTGCTTCGGCGAGCGAGCGAGGGGAAGTGAGAAGGAGACGGCCTTCTCAGCGGGCTCGGCAGTCCCCCTTGGCCTTCGGGGAAGTGTTCTGAGCCAAGCCTCCTTTCCCGAAGGCGCAGGAGGCGCGAGGGATGCCCAGAAGCCCCGCCGCCTTCTGTGAGGAGGCCTTCTCCTTCGCGCTTCCCCCCCCCCCCCCGCGCTCGCCGCCGACCCTCGTTTCCAGCAGAGCGTGTCGCGCGGGCTGCCCGCGCAAGCCACCGCGCGGGGGCGCCATGCCCACCCCGCGCGGGGCCCGCCCCTCTTCGCCGCTCGCCTGCCAGAGGCGGGGGCACAGCCTGCCCTGCCTGCCGCGGCCGGGTCCGTGGGCCTCCGCGCAGCCTGCGAGAGAGGCCGGCAGGGGCGCCGCGAGTCAGCCACGCGCCGGGAGGGGGGTGGTTGCAAGTCATTCAGAGCGTGAATTACCTCCCCCGCTTTCGCTTCCAGACAAAATCGTCATACCACGCGCCTCCGTCAAGCGACCAGTACAGGCTTCAATTTGGCATCGTTTGGTATCTCTTGGAAGCGAGGGTGGTCAAAAGCGAGGTAGGTTTGTTTTCCCCCTAGTCATAGGAGCCCTGTGTACCCTCGTAGTTCTGTCTGTAGAGTGCGTTAGCGTCGACAAGCGTCTGGTCATCGGTGAGGTAGTGCCGTCTCAGCGTCGGCTGGCGTCGACTGGCGCTGATTCAGCGTCGCTTAGCGTCGACCAGCGTCGATTAGCGTCGATTCGCAGGAGCCGGCAGGATGATGTGGGAGGCACCCATGAGTTGCCACCGAAGAGGGGGGTATGGGGAGGGGTGAGGTTTCTTAGAAGCCCCCCCGGCCTCTTGGAAGGCGCGGGCCTCATCTGTAGATGCAAGGCCCGCGCCTCCCAGAAGCAGCCTTCTTCTGAGAAGCCTTCCCCCCTCCCCCCTCCTCCCTCCTCCCTCCTCCCTCCTCCCTCCTCCCTCCTCCCTCCTCCCTCCTCCTCCTCCTCCTCCTCCTCCTGCTCCCCTCCCCCCACCCCCCGGTGTGCAGCGCGCCCAGCGAGTGCCTCCCCGCAAACGCCCTTCAAAAACATGCCTTCCCCTGTGTCATGGATCGCAGATCCCCGCGGCGGACCCCGGCCATTTGCGAGCAGCTACTTTGCCGGTAGCAGAACGCGCTTGTCTCGAAGAAGAAGAATGAAAAGGCATAAGCATAATTGTTTGGCGCTCCGCGCGGATTTCTTGGATCCGCGCTGGGACCCCCCCGGCGGCGCCTCCGGCGCCGCCCTTGGCGCTCTCCGCCCGCCAGCGAGGGGGATCCAGCGCCGATCCGAGAAATTCGCGCGGAGCGCCAAAAGTTTATGGTTATGCCGTGTTCTCTTCGAGTTTTTATTCTGCCTGTGGCGTAAAGTCGGGCCTGTCCCTCCACAGGAGGAAGATCCAAAAACAGTCAAACATATTATGGGGATGATCTTTCTAATGTTTTTTTTTACAAATAATAATAATAATAATAAGCATAATCATAATAATAATAATTATAAAAGAAAGAACATTTTGGAGTATCTTTTGACTATGTTTTATGTTTCCTCCAAAATTTGCCCGCGCCCCCGGAGGCCTGGACCCCTTCCCCGGGACCGGCTTCTCCTCGTGAGTCGTTCTCTGACGGTCTCGGGGCTTGGTGAGGGCCTCCAGAGGCCTAAGATAACGAAACACCTCCCGTCGTGAATTTTGCATGACCCGAGGGGGTGTACGTCCTCCCAGAGGGGCTGGAAGACAGCGCTGCCAGGCCTGAAGGACGCCCTTCGGTGCCGATGTTTGCTTGGGAGCTTCTGTCGCATCCCCGGGCTGGGCACGCCGGGCACCGCAGGCTGGCCTCAAGGGGTCTCCCGCCTGCCTTCAGGCAAAAGCGCGAGAAGTCATGATGATGTCAAGCATGTCCCCCTCTACAGGGGGAACATCCATAAATACCCACAACTTCTACAGTCACAACGCGAGGGGGTCTGGCAGCGCGCTCGCCTTAAGTCGGGCCTGTCCCCCTACAGGGGGATTTTCGACGAACAAATTTTAAAACATACAACCAAAATAGTACAAACATATTCTGGGGACTATTTTTTGAGCGTTGTTTAACCTTTTTGGGATATTTTTGGGATATGTTTTATTTTTCGTTGAAAATCCCCCTGTAGGGGGACACGCCCGACATTAGGCTCGCCGAGCGAGCGCGCGCGGCCCGGGCCGGGAGGCCTGGTCTTCCCGTCGGTCGCCGCGACGAAGGCGCACCTCGTCATCAGCAACACTGTGCCCCTGGCGGGCAGGGCGGCCGGGCCGCACATTCGCTGGGGGCGTGGGCGAGGAGGAGGAGGAGGAGGAGGAGGAGGAGGAGGAGGAGGAGGAGGAGGGAGGAGGAGGGGGAGGAGAGGGAGGGAGGGAGGAGGAGGAGGAGGAGGAGGAGGAGGAGGAGGAGGAGGGAGGAGGGCCTTCAGAATAGCCCCATGTGTTTTTGCGTTTCGGTCGCGGTGCGGAGGATTTCGTGGAGGAGCCAACTTGAGCCAACAGGAGGAGAAGGAGGGGGAGGAGGAGAGGGGAGAGGAGGAGGAGGAGGAGGAGGAGGAGGAGGAGGAGGAGGAGGGTCTGTCCCCTCCTCCCGGCCCCTGGCTCCCCCATCGGGTCCGTCCCCTCCTCTCCTAGGCCTCCCAGATGGGGTCCGAGTCGATGGGGTCGGAGGATCGCGCCGCCTCGCCGATGCATCGCCGATGCATCGCCGATGAGGCTCGATGTGGCGCCCGATTTTCTCCACGCCGACGACGCCGATGCATTGCCGGCGTCGCTGATGCATCGGCGATGTCGGCGGCGAGCAATGGGGGGAGGTGAGAAGGGGCGGGCCTTCTCAGAAGGTTCGGAAGTCCTCTGGGCTTCTGAAAAGTGTTCAGAGTCTTTTCCGAAGACACAAAAAGATTCGAAAGGCTGGAGGTCCCATGAGAAGCGCCGCCGCCTTCTGAGAAGGCCTTCTCCTTCTCGTTCCCCCCACTCGCTCGCCGCCGACTCCTCCTGGGCAGCGGGCAAGATCGGAGGTGGGTACAGCCAGACCGAGGGATGAGATCAAGGTCGGTTCGGGGAGGGTACCCTCATGTTCTTCGTGCTTGTTTTATGTTCTCGTGCATCCTGGGGAGGGTACCCTTAGATGTTTTTCCTGTGCTGGATTGTGTTGGCCGGCGGAGGGTCTCATGCTCTTGGAGGATGTTATTCCGCCTCAGGTGTTTTAGAACCCCAACCTTGGAGCACGTCTTTCGGGAAATGCACAGTGACACGAACTGACAAACTCGGGGGTCCGCGCGGATTCTCGGATCGGAGTCCCCCTATTCTACAGGAGGAATATTCCAAAATTATGAAAAGTAGTCCGGGATTGTCCTAGTATGTTTGATTATGTTTGAATAGTTGTTTTGATTATTGTAGAATGGTTCTTCTAAAATCCGCCTGTAGGCAGACATGCCCGACCTAGCTGTAGAGCCACCGAACCGTGTCCAGTCGAAGAGCGAACTTGTTCCGTTTCTCGAGAGCACACTTGCTGCGTGTGCGCTGGCAAAATTAGCGCGCAGCTCATCGGCGACTCGTGTTACAGTCGGACCGAGGCACAAGAGCGAGGTCGGTTCTGGGTGGGGATGGCCTGGTGTTCTTCGCGTGTGTCGGCTGTTCTTGTGGACGGGCCTCCATTGTAGAGCCCCCAAACATTTCTCCTCCTCCTCCTCTTCCTCCTCCTCCTCCTCCTTCCCCTCCTCCCAGTCGAACAGCGAGCTGCCCTGTGTCCAGTTCTCGAGAGAGGGCGTGCTGCGGCCTCCCTCCTCCTCTTCCTCCTCCTCCTCCTCATCATCATCAGCAGCAGCAGCAGCACATCATCATCATCATCATCATCATCATCATCATCATCATCATCATCATCATCATCATCATCATCATCATCATCATCATCGTCGTCGGCACGAAGGGGGGGAAACGGGGCTCTGCTCCCCACCGACAAGAGCAGCCAGGGAACTGTCAGGAGGGGGAACACAGACACAATTGATCGTCGATCCCCCAGAAAGTATGGGAAAGTAAGGGAAGTGTGGGGGGGGGGACGGAACTCTGGAAAACATGGGAAAATCTGGGATCTCTCGGATTTGTGTCTATTCGTTTGCATCTCCCTGGGCCCCTTGAGTTCTGTCCACCCCCGGCAAGAGCAGCCAGGGAATTGGAGGTGTCGGGGGATGCTGCGGGAAACGGGTCCTGCGGGAAGCGGGTCCCGAGGTTTCTTCGCCGCCCTCGGGCTCTCGGGGCCCTCGACTCGGGCGAAGAGAGCTATGCACATGCACCGATCCTGGCAAGGTCCATCCTTGACCCAGGATCGGTGCATATGCCTTCCTGGCCAAGGTAGGAGGGCGTATGCACCGATCCTGGGCTCAGGATGGGCCTGGCCAGAATCGGTGTATGTGCATAGTTCTCTTTCCTCTATCGACAGGCGCCGGGACTGTCAGAAAACTGCTCGGGAGGAAGACTTGGCCCAGGGGGAAGGCCCCAGGGTCCAGCACCCGTGTCCCTCAGGACCCGTTTCCCTCGGGGGTGGACAGGACCCCAAACAGGGCTGTAGTGAATTGTGCGTTTTCGGTTCTCGAGATGGCGCCGTGGCCGTTCTTTTCCAGGCTTTCGCCCGCCAGGTTTGGGCCTCAGGTAGTTTTCACGAAACCACGTTCTACTAAAGGGGGGTCTGTCCATCCCCGATTCCCCAGGCTGACGATGACCTGCGCGCCGCTCTCCCGACGCCTGCAACAGCATGATCCCTCGGATGGGACCGGGACGAGGATGCAGTCAAAAACCCTAATAAGGACGCGCGTGTTTGCTCAGGGTACCCTTGCGTCCTTGTTCTTCCTTGCTCTTGCGTCCTTGGGGTTTTCGTCGTCCGCCGCCCCAAAAATCCCAACTTCGGCTTCCAAGGGTCTTGCGTCCTTACCGCGCGTCCTTATTAGGGTTTTTGATTGTAAGTCTGGCCCAGAGCGCTCGGGAACTCTCTCGGAGCGTTCCAGAACGCTCTGAGAAGGCCGCGGCGCCCGAGACTCCGAGACATTCCAGAGCCGGCGGATCTCAGAGATTCTCGGTCTATCCTCGCCCAATGCTCTTCTCGTCCTGGCGTCGTCTTGAGGTAGCGAGAGGGCCAGCCTGGTGCACCGCGCGAGCATGCCGCGTCCCTGCAGCCGCCCCTCCGCCCTGATTCAGGAGGGAAACAAATACACAGACACAATGAATCGTCGATTCCCAAAAAAATATGGGAAAATATGGGAAGCGGGGGGGAAGACAAAAACCCAGAAAACATAGGAAAATACAGGGAATCCTGTTCTTCGTGTCTATTCATTTGTGTGTCCCAGGGCCCCTTCACTAATCCTGTGTCCCGAGCGGGAGTCGCTTGTTGCCCCTGCGAGCAGGGCCGGCAGAGGGGTCGCCGCCGGGTCGGACGTCTGATCACGCGGGTGGGCAGCCCACGAAATTTGGAGTGCAGCATCTCGGATGCAACTCCTGGAGGGTCAAATTCTGATGTTGCCCTGGTCCGAAGTCCGGCTTCATCCTATTGAATCCCGCTTAATCCCGTTCAATCCGACGTAATCCCACCTAATCCGGCTTAATCCCGCTTAATCCGAAGCCCACTCTGGCGTAACAGCCCCGCAATGGATCTTAATCTTCTTACTCTCTCCTACGAAAACCTTCTAGTAATTGCCTCCTAAACAGCACGGTCACGGCAGGTTCGCGTCGCGTCGACGCGGCGGCGACCCCGCCGCGGGCCTTCAAGCTTGAGCGCCGCCAATGGCCCAGCGATCCGGCGATTGTCAAGCCGACGATCGTTCATGTTCGAATGATCCGCGCGGTGGCGAAAAGCAAAGCCAGGGTCGTCACGACACGACTTTACCGTAGTAGAGCAAGGCGTCACCCCTTGGAGTACCACTACCTCCTCCGGCCCTGTCTCCATTCCTTTATGTTATCTTGCGTTCCCCTGCAGTGACCGTTAGGTCTCGGGGGGGGGGCTTTGGTTTTCGGGCCGTTCCTCAGATCTAGGTCGGGGAAACTATTCGTTGCTGACCGAGTCTCGCTGCGGCCTGGAAGCCCCGTCGTTCGTTGTTCGTTGCTCCTCATGATAACACGATGGCTCTGCTCCGTCCCTAACTCTGCCCCTCTCTGCCTGATCGCTCCCCGCCAGGGGAGAGCAAAAGGGCCCCCGTGGGGAGGACGACCTCCGAGAGTGCTGGTCCCCTGTGACCCTGATCCTCGAGAAGGTTGGCTTCCAGAAGGCTCGCCTCCTGCGCGCGGCGGCGGCGGCTGGGGCGTAGTAGTACAGCCGGCACGAGGTTGAAGAACAGACTTGGTTTCTGATGTTGTACGGTGGTGGGTTCGTACTGTGTTCATGCGGCGGCGATCACGCTGCGGACGTGCAAGGTTGAACGCAGTCCGTGGCCCAGAATCGGCCACTAAAATTGGAACGAACTAGCGATCGTTACCAGCCTGGAACATATCCCTATCCCTATGCTGGGCATCTCCTCATCACGATGCCAATCTCAGGGACTCCCTTATTGCTTGAGGGCGCATCCTTAAGATTGTCGTCGCCTTTTGGCGTGTCAATCTTAGGGGGGATAAGTTCGAGGCCGTTAAGATCGAAAAGCCGCCGATCGTCCCAAGGTTGAGCGACCCGCGCCGTGCCAGAAACCAACGCGCAGGTCGTCACGACGCGTACCCGCCGTACAGTGGAGACCCATGCCAAGAAACACCCTGCTTGCCTCCAGGGTGCCCTGGGTTTCTTGGGTGCCCATGGTTTTGCGCTGGGAAGCGTGACGTTCCCACGCCAAGCATCGGTGGACGCCCTGGGGTCTCAGGGTTGGGTTTCTGGTGGAAGGTTTCTTGTGGTCGGGCCCCACCTGTACGCCAGAACCCAGGTTTGCCGACGCTTTTTGGCGTGCGCGTCCTGGATTTTGACGGTCCAGTTTTCGTGGGATGGTTGCAGCGGGAGGTCGCGTCAAGTTTCAGGCTGGTCCTCGGCAGTTTCATGATGGCCCCGTCAGGCCAGCTCGAGTCCCCCGAACCCGAGCCTTGCGTCTCCCCGACTGTGGCCGTGTCTCGACTGCAGAGCACGTGACGGCGAGGGGCAGTGTGACAGGGAGGCATCAGCAACAAGACACGGTGATGAGACACGGGTGTGTGTGTGTGTGTGTGTGTGGAGACCGGTGGACG